ACCTTGGCAAGGAATTTCGGTTCATGGACAAGGAGTTCGTATTGCAGTATGAAGTCAATTTTCTTGAGGGTATATCCTGTGGTGGCGGCTACGTTAAATTGCTTTCTGCGGACCCAAAATTGAACTTGGTATGTCAGTTTACTCATGTGTTTACTGCTCTAGACCCAATTTCACGATAAAACCCCGTACACAATCATGTTTGGCCCCGATAAGTGCGGTATGGATATGAAGGTTTGCGCTTCGTTATACTTATCTTCAATTAGATCCATTTCATCTTCCGTCACCGTAACCCCAAAACTGGAGTTATCGAAGAGAAACATGCGAAACAGTCATCAAAACCGCTTGATACATACTTCAGCGACAAGAAAACACATTTATATACTCTCGGTAACCTGTCACATCCACTCTTCTAACCTATTAGTTGTGCGATCTGACAATTCTTTCGAAATCTATGTGGATCAAACTCTTGTTAACTCTGGCAATCTTCTCAAGGATGTCAAGTGAGTTCCATGTTATTATCGTCTTCTTCTAGTCACTTAATGCCACTTTTTTTCATAATTGCTTATGTTTTGGTTACTCCAAACGCGTACTTCCCACTGTAAATTTTAAGTAACCAAACGTTGCCCTGAAGCAGTGAGCTACAGCTGGCGCAAGAGGTCGCTGACCCTTATCAGTCCTTATGGCTACTATTCTAGAGACAAATAAACAAGGGTTCTATGGTCAATGCTTGGAAAGGCAGTATTGATCAGACGCGCCAGGGCCTGTTTAGGTAGTTATTCATGCTTGTAATTTATATTCTAGGGCCTTTAAAGGTATTTGTGAGTGCATGGTTCCCTAACGATTATTTGACTTATTACATACCCCATAACACGCCTTGAAAACATTCCTCCGGTCTTTGCGTTATCTTATCTGATTTTCCTGGTCATAAAAGTGGTTTTAAAAGTTTTGTGCACCGCTTAGAACTAAAGAAAATGGTTTTTGTTATAATTGAAGACAGTTGATTGCGCTAATTTACCGACTACCAGTTCCCTTGTTGTCGTTTAATTATGCATGCAGTACTTCTCTATCTTATCATATTTTAATAGTCTGTGTTTACACTACTATTCTGTAATTGACCTTACTAGCATATTACTGGTGCATCCGTTGCGAGCTCACGAGTTACGACCAAGCGGGCATCTGTAT